TTCCAATTTTTTTCCCTAACTTGAATCAGAGATTTTATCTCTATGAAAACCTTTATTCAGTATCTCATTAAAATTCATGTGTTAACCTTCAGAATAAAAACAATAACGTGAAGTCCAAATTTACAGCTCTTTCCCCCTTCACAGTCATCTCTTTTGCAGCACATTCGTCAACAGTATGGTGTTCTTTCAACATGCATTTATGCATGTACAATGTGCCTTCCCCAAGAATCTCAATACATATTAAGGCTCTTATCACTTATCCATTCTAACCCTGAAATTCTACAATTTAATGCTACATGTAAAGAAGGACAAGAGAGGATCAAGAAGGGATCAGGAAAAAAATGGTAAAGGCAAAGAGTTCATATTTGAGGAAAGGAATGATTAAACTGACAAATATAAGCCACTGAATTTTTTGATTATATATAAATTATTGCTTTTTTTGTCACAAATGATAGCAACCACAAAACTGCACTGATTGAAGCAAAAGAGAATTTACTGACTCAACTGTAAAGTTCAAGATTATTTCCATTTTGAAGTGTGGCTGGATTTAGGAGTTGAATTGATGTAATTAGACAGCTCTTCTTTTCTTCTTTCATCTCTTGGCTCCTTTTCTGTTTTGGCTCTAGTTTCTGAAAGGCTTTCTCCTCACTGTGCCAAGATAGAGGTTTTGATTGGCTGTAGTAAGAATCCATGAGGATCCTAGACCCTGTATCATCAAGGCTTATGTTCATTTTCTTGTCTTCAGGCTACGTGATCACCCTTGAAGCTATGGAAAGGGTCAACCCAACTAAAGCACCTGCGCTGAGGGTAGGGAAGAGGGTAGTGCCGAAGCCAAGAGAAGTAGTAGCTTACAAACTGCAAATGTCCGTATCAGGTGACGGGAGTTGCAATTAAATGGTAGTGCTGAAAGCCAAATTGGAGAGAATAAACTGTAAGTGAATAATAGGAAAGCGAATTTGACAAATCATTATCTTTTATTCCTCCTCTGTGAAAAGACATCATTGAATCAAAATAATATGACAAAATAGCGATCTGAGAGAGTAAGAGCTCTAAAAATACTTCTCCCATGAGAAATATTGATTATGTTGTAGACCTAGTCAGAAGCTGGAACCAAGTGTTCTCCATAATATTGTGAAAAGGGGAATTTAGAGTATACTTAAGGCTGATCCTTATAGAGGAGATGGTATATTCTTTCCTCTTTAAACAAGAGGATCAGAATATGGTTATGGGTATGAAAGCATTCTGGAGTGGAATACATGTATGAATCCATGTGCCATTTGGTGTTAGTCTATTTAACTTGGGGATTGTCTGGCCAAAATTTTGAAGTAATGAGACAACAAAAATTGCCTTGAGACAATGAAAATTTTATACAAAAATAGTCATTGTCAAAGAAACTTTCATTAAGGCTATTTCCAAGGGAACAAACTTTGCTAACTCATTTATTAAAACATCACATGACTGCAGAGCTTATGGTATGTTTCGCCAGAGTTTGCCAGCTTGAAACAACCCATGGGACTGTTGTTTGAGTAGAGACGACATGAAATGGGAAAACCATCTGCAAGACAATACATGCTCTGAGAGGATTGTCTTCGTTGCATTAATGGAGCTGGGAAATGTTAAGTACTCATTTTACCCATCATCACTTCGCTTTACAAACAGTTGCCTTCCTGAGGTTTGCCATCTCTCTCTTATTCCAGTCAGAAGCCAGACTGCTCTAGGTGCACATTCACAACCAGTAAGCATAAGTAGCATAGCCTGTTCTTTGAGCCAGTAAACATTTACTAAATGTCTAACTGACGCCAGCACTCTTTAAGTGTCGGCTCTGCAAAGATGAAGAAGGCACAGTTCCTGACCTCAGATCCCTCGTGTTTGTGGAGTAGACATGTGAAATAAGGTCTTAATACAACATATAATAGAATAATGGGCAAGTGCCATGGAACACATTAACCAACCCTAGCCCAGACTGTGTAGGCAGGTAATATTTCAGAATAATACAATGATTTGCTGCTTGAAAAAAATGCACAGTCATTAGTTGGGTCAAAAAGGAAGGGTGGTGATAGAAAAGGCTGGAAGGTACTGTTGGCAGAAATGTGTGAGGCCCAGACAGGTGGTGACTACAAAGGCAGAGTTCAAGGTTCTAGCATTAGGAAGAACTTGAAGAGGAGGGATGCAATGCCATTGATGGGGGGAGCTAGCATATAAAAGGAAAGTTCTTCCCTTGATAATGTTCTCAAAAACTCTACCTTGCTTTCATGGTACTCTTCAAATATACTTTTATCATAGTTGTAACAGCTATCCTATCTCATATTACCTATTTTGAGAAACTGCTGAAGACAGTACTGTCCATACTCACTGATGAGTGTTTTACCACTATAAAAAATGCTGCAAGCTGTGTAATTTATAAGAAACAGAAATTTATTTCTCACAGTTCTGGAGGTAGGGAAGCTCAAGAACAAGGTCCTGGCATTTGGCGTCTGGTGAGGGCTGCTCTCTGCTTCCACAGTGGTGCCTTGAATTCTGCCTCCTCTGGAAGGGCCAATGCAGTATCCTCACATGGAGGGGGTTGAAGGGCAAAAAGGAGTCAAACACACTCCCTCCAGACCCTTCGTAGGGGAGTACTCCCATGCATGAGAGCTCTGCCTCGTGGCCTCATCACCTGCTAAAGGCACCACCTCTTAATCCGGTTGCACTGGAGATTAAGTTTCATTATGAATTTTGGAGGAGATACAAGCATTCAGGCCACAGCACCCACTAACTCCCACATCCCCATCACCACCAGCTTTATAGCTTCTGTATTTGGGAAGGAGCTAGAGTTTTGGTGATTTTCAGCTGGAAGTTTGGATACAATATTATAGGAGCATTTGGCAGAGACTAAAATGAAAGTCAACATTTATGTGAAGTGGTAAGTAACTTGAGATTGTTCTTCAGACATGCAAGATTGAATGGCCTTAAGCAGAAGAGCTGCCAGATCAAGCCTCTGTTTTAAGTATTTTTTTATTTTTCAAAGATTTATTTTATTTATTTCAAAGGCAGAATGACGGAGAGGGAGAGATAGAAAGTTCACTCTCCAATGGTTCATATACTGGTTCACTCTCCAAATGGCAAAGGCCAGGGCCAGGCCAGGCCAAAGCCAGGACGCAGGAACCCCACCAGGGTCTTCCACATAGGTGGCAGGGGCCCATCTTCTACCCCTTTCCCAGGCATGTTCAGGGAACTGGATCAGAGGCAGAGCAGCAGGGACTTGAACTGGCACTCTGATATGGGACACCAGTGTTAACAACTGGTGGCCTAATCTGCTGAGCAACAACAGTGGCCCCCAAATCTCAATTTTAATTTGACTACTCGAGCAGCAGAGGTGAGAACAGATAGGGATGCAAAGACCTGGAAGGAATTTATCTAGAGCAAGCATCGAGGCAAAAAATAACTGGAATGGTATAAGGACAAGACTGGTAGAAATGAAGAAAAGGGAAAATTGAAGTCATTTTAACTCGATAAATCCAAAGAATTTGGTGACTTGAATGAGGCACTGTGGGAGTAGGAGTCTCTCAGGTGACAGATGATGATGGCAAGGCTTTCAGCTTGGATAACTAGACTCCCAGACAGCCTAGAATTCACTTCCAAAGGGCAAAAATGAAAGAGTATGTCCGAATAATTAGCATTCATTAAATGCCTAACTGGGTCAGTTGCTCTTCTAGGTTCTGGGGCCATAAAGACCAATAGCACATGCCTTTATGCAGCTCTCTTCCAGCTTATTGAAGGTAAGACAGGGCAAATAAGAGTTAACATCAATAGAACAACAGAAGTAGAACAGAGTGCTATTTAATTAGAGAGAAGGGCCTTGCCTCCATTAAAGTTATTTACCAGGATAGGCAAATAAGCAGATGTGGAAAACCATAGTAAGATTTAAATATTTTGATATGTTGATTTTATATAGACCTTCAGGGAGAGTGAGAGAAAAATAGTCACCCAGAGATTTGGAAATGCAACTCCAGCTTTTGGGCACAGTTGTGTGTATGGATAAGTTAGTATAGCAACAGTAGATAAGGCGAAGACAAGTGCAACCACATAGAACTCCAGTAGAAAATAATTATCTGGAAACCACATCTGAAATTTCATTTATGCTCAATATAAACCCATATTGTATCTTAATTCTGTTTTGATGGAAAACACAACAGAGAATCTGAAAATTTCCATAATTATTATTTGGTTATTTTTATTTGAGAGAGAAAAACACAAACCGACAGAGATCTTGCACCCATTGGTGCATGCCTCAAATATCTGCAACAACTAGGGCTGGGTCTAGCTGAAGCCTAGAGCTGGGAACTCAATTCATGTCTCCTCTGTGGGTGCCAGGAACCAAGTCACTTGAACCATTAATGATGCCCCACAGTGTGCACATTAGCAGGTAGCTGAAATTTGGAGTACAGCAAGACTTATACCCACACACTCAAGTATGGGATATGGGCATCCCAAACTATGTTTTTAACTTTAGCCAATACACCTGCCATAACACCCATAATTCTGACAAATTCATTGTAATACAAAGGTGAGATCCTGCCTGCTCCCACACATTTTGTGCATGTTCACTCCAACAAAAGTATGGTTAACACCAGTTGTTAAAGAGTTGAGAGAGGAATTGAAGACAGCAGTGAAAAAAGGACATGAAAGGAAGAACAAAAAGTTTGGTGTTCCAAGCGGCAAAAGAGAAGTACTTGCAGTATTTTATGGTGTTAAGTTGTGCTAGCTTTTTACATGATTCATATAAATAATTGTAAATTGGTAAAAAAAATCAGCATAAGTTTTATGCTAATTTAAAATCAGAATTAGCTTTTAGAAACAAAACTCTGTGTTTTAAAAAATAGATTAGTTTTGATAGAGTGATTCCCAAGAAGAATTTTTCTGAGCAACTTTATGTATTCATTTAAGACACAACTGTCCAAAGAACAGAGTTGAATACAGCTAAGCTGGAGGAGGAGGAAGTGGCAGAGAGATGGCAGCAGATCCTGGGGCGCAGAGGGGACGTGATCAGATCTGCCTGTCATTAATAGCTGGTGCATTGTGTGACCGGAAATGAGGAGCTTTGATGTGCCATCCAGAGCACTTAATCCCAGATGTGTCTGGTCTCAGAGATTAATATGTAAGACTCGCAAAACAAAAATGTAAGCTCTGCCTGGCTTGGCTTGTTTTGAAGGTGCCTGTGTTTAGCTCAACAGAGTTTGGAGAGGTACCTGGAGAGGCATGATGATGTCTGATCTTCCTGATTCAGAGGTCCAGTGTTGCTAGATTCAGAAGTAATCACCTGGATCTTTATTTTCACATCTGTGAAGACCAGAGGTACATTTGATACGGCTTAGTTCCTACTACTTTCTCTTGGCACTTGGCTGTTGTGAATATAGGAGGAATGAAATACCTGAATCTAAGACCTAAACTGAGACAGTTTTACAAAATTAATTAATTTCCCCAAACCTCCCTGCCTCTGGCTCCTCCCCAACAAAATTTTATTAAAAGTTTATGAATGAGCATCTATTTGGATTTATCAGGATAATGAAAACAAAACAGTTGTCATTTTGAAAGTATTTGCTAGTATTTTGCTAAGGCTGCAGTGTCTACAAATCTGTTCTCTTTTTTTGGTAGCATTAAAATATTTCAAAACACTAAACCACTGTTGCTAAAAATGATCTGAATTTTATAGTAACCTTAATTATGGTGCCCTGATCTTTCTGAAGCTTTGTTAGGTATCACAAAAAATACTACTTCTTTTCAATATTGCTTTTATTTGCATTTATTCAATGTGTTTTGTCAAGATAATACTTCCAAATAATTTTATGAAATTAAATATTAAAATACCTTCTAATAAATAGAGCAGTGTCCTACCAAAATCCTTCTCAATTTCAATCTTTAACCTTATATTTTGACATTCACATCTTTATTTCTAGGTAACATGCTTGTAGTTGTTCATTCTGGATGTGCTCTTTAATTTGATCGTGTTTGTTACTCCTCTTTCAAACACTCAAATGTATAGAATGATGAATCAATTTTATCATTTTTGCTACAGACCTCCTCCTGAGCCTTTTGATTGATTTCTTAGTTTGCTCTTCCACCATCGTCCTAGAACTTCCTGCTCTACCACCGTCATCCTAGGACTTCTCTTACCTCATTCTCATGTCCAATACTTTACCCAGGATCACAGAGTTTTCATTTTTCTTAAATTTCTCCATTCTAAATTTTTTTTATTTTATTTATTTGAGAAGCAGAAAACACACAGTGTCAGAGACAGAGTTGGACAGACATCTCATCCACTGATTCATTCCCCAAATGCTCACAACAGGAGAGGCTGAGCCAGACTGAAGCTAGGAGCCTGGTACTTAATTGTGGTCTCTCCTATGACTGGCAGGGATCCAACCATTGAGCCATCTCTGCTGCCTCCTAGGGTGCACAAGTAGCAGGAAGCTGAAATTGGAAGCAGTGTCAGGATTCGAACCCAGGTGTTCCCATATGAAATGCAGGTGTGCCAACTGTGCCTAATTCGCACTCTTCTCCTTTGGCTGGAACACCTTCATTCAGTAGCTTTCTGGTGTCTCTGAGTCCTGCACACACAGGGGATTTTGCAAAGTGGATCAGCTCTTTCTCATCATGAGCTGCCTCCACATGGTTGTAACGTCTACCCTGGGAGGGGAGGCGTCTGCTGTGCTTTTCACAGAATGTCTTCTTCACTGATGTCTCTTGCCATTGCCTTCTCCCTCGTGGATTTCCTTTCTCTTGAGTTCCCCTAAGTATTTTAATGGGGTCTCAGCAGAGAGAGATGAATGTATGTAGCCTATAGATGGCCATGTTTAGCTGAATGCCCACATTTAACTTTTGCTTATTATTTGCGTGAGAGTTTAATGACAAATTAGAGCATTTTATTTAAAATATATTTTCCTCATTAGGGAAGTCATTGAATTTTTATGTGGGTGGCTTATACTATGTTATGAAGTATAGATGTTTAGATAATTCCTTCTTAAAAATTATCGAGTTCCTGATTTGCCTAGTTCTTTCTCTGTTAGATCACAACCACTACTATTTTATAGTGGTGCCAGAAATTCAGAAAAAAGAGGAAGATCAGATATATCTGTATTAGTACCTAACTGAGCACTTTCAGATGGGATGTCTGCAGAAGGAAATAGCTAAAATAACATTTCTTCTTGTTTTGCTGACCTTACTTTTCTTAGCACCCAAAGTTGACAGTTGAGTATTTGTCCCTGATTGTGTAATCAATGAAAATTCACTCTGGTAAAAATTATGAGAGATCAATTTTCCATTGCTTCCAAAGAATATTAATCACACGCACACTCTCACACACACACACAACAGCCTCAAGATTTTATACAAGTGAGGTTGCTTAGCCTTACAAAAAGAAAATGCAGCACTTACAAGTAATGTCTGAAAGTGAAACTCTTTCCTGCTCAAGTAGGAAACTTCTGGCTCTTTATAAGAAGGTGTTTCTAAGCGCTCCAGAAAGGAACCTAAATGTCAGTACACTTAGCATCTTATGTCGGTGATAAAATATTCTTTAACAATCTTTCCTGGTAGTTAAATACAAAATGAAGACATTTTATCCTTTATATACTAACTGAATAAAGCCTCTTCTATCATTGGAAATTTCTGTAACAAACAAGAATGATCCTTCAGTAGTGAATGTGTGTGTGTAGGTAGAAATTTAAATGTAAAAGGTTAATTTTTTTTTCTTTCAAGTGATTTGTCTAGGATGTTGTCTGGCAATTCAATAACCAAGTAATTTGCTTCTCCCTCCATTTGAGATGTCAAATATCTCATGGTTTAATGAGAGCTTTATTTTTCTAAGGAAAAAAAAGAAGAAGAAAACTATGTTAATTATCTTGCCTTGGTAATCACACAACAATGGCAACACTTAGGGCATCAACACAGAGCTACAGCTCAGTTACAGAGTCTGATGACTAGGCAAAAACATAAACCCTGCAGTGAGGTGAGCAAATTCAAATTTCTTGAGATTGTATAAAAATGATTTCATTTATTTATTTGCAGTGCAGAGACAGGCCCACAGATTGAGCTCCTGTTTGCTTGTTCACTCCCTAAATGCCCATAATGGGTGGGTCTGGGATGAAGTCCTCCCATTTGGATGGCAGGGATCCAACCACCTGAGCCACCACTGCTCAAAGATTCTGCATCACTAAGAAGCTGGAATCCAGAGCTACCACTGGGAATTAACCCAGACACTCTGATTTGGGACATACTAACCAGCATCAGCTTGGCTAAGCACTCACCCTGTAAAATGGTTTTATTGTGCTGAAAGTTACACCAAATTGGCAGACTTAGTTTTGTAGAAAGTTAAATGCCAAAGATTTGCTGTGAATATAAAAAGCAGAAATAAACAATTTCTTCTTTTTCATCTTTATCAACTAAGTTGCCTGTATGTCTGTTATCAAAATTAGTCATTCATTCCTTTTTCATTTTCATTGTGGTAAAATATACCTAACATTAAATAGACTATATCAATCAGCTTTAAATGTACAATTCAGTAGTATTAAAAACATTCATATGAGTAAGTGTTTGGTGCAGTGGTTATGATAGTGCTTGGGATTCCTGCATTCCATATTCAAGTGTCTGGGTTCAAGTCCCAGCTTTGCTTCCAATTCCAGCTTTCTGCTATTGTAACCCTGGGAAGCAGCAGGTGATGCTCATGTCCTTATTTGGCTCTCTGCCACTCACATGGGAAACCAAATTGTTTCTGGGCTCCCATCCTGATTGTCGTGGTCATTTACGGAGTGAGCTAGTAGATGGAGCATATCAGCACAACAATTTCTGGCCTCCTGTGTTTCTGATGAGAAATCTGTCAATCTTACTGAAGGTCCATTATGTTGGATCAGTCAGTTCTCTTTTGCTACTATGAAGATCATTTCATTGTTCTTGGCTTTTAACAATTCAATTATAATGTTTCTTGAAATAGGTGTCTTTGAGTTCTTACTGGGAGTTTGTTTAGTTTCTTGGAAATTTACATTCCTGTCTTTTATCAAATTTGGGAAGTTATCAGCTGTTATGTCTTTAGACTTTCTCCCTGTCCCTTTTTGTTCTGTCTCTCTTCTCTGGGACTCCCATGATGCATTTGTTGGTCCACTCGATGGTGTTTCATGGATCTCTTTGACTGTTCACTTTTCTTCAATGTTTTTTCTGACATCAGTCATTTCTATTATATAGAATTTCTTTTTAGGTTTTTATTTTTACTCCTTCACTGGTATTTCCATTTTGTTCATACATCATTTTCTTGACTTTCTCCATATCTTCCTTCAGTTCATCAAGCATCTTTAAGATAGTTATCTTAAAATCCTTTGATATTACTTTAAGTGTAATTTGTTCCTAAATTTTCTTTCCATGTTGCTTTAAAAGTCTTTGCCTGCCATCAGAGCTTTTTCAAGGATGGTTGATTTATTTTTCCTTTTGAATGGGCCATACTGTCTTGTTCTTTGTATGCTGTATTATTTTGTTTTTCTCTTGAAGACTCGATATTTGAATCTAATAATGTAGTAATGCTGGAAATCAATTTATCACTATTTTCTGGGGATTGCTTCTTATTATTGCTTTTGCTTATTTATTTATTTATATTGTAGTAGGCAGTCTCTGTGTCAAGGATCAGCCCAAGAGGTAAACTTAGGGTCTCTTTAGGAGTTTTCTGACCTCATCCTTCTCTATGGACATATATGATGACTTTCTAATTTTTCTTACATATACAGTTAATGTTTGAATGCCATATTCTTTTTTAAAGTTTTTATTTTTATTTATTTATTTATTTGAAAGGCAAAGTGGAAGAGAGAGAGAGAAAGAGAGAGAGAGAGAGAGAGCCATCCATCTTCCATCCACTAGATCACTCCCCACTCCCCAAATACCCACAATAGCCAGTGTTGGACCAGGCTGAAGCCAGAAGCCTGGAACTCCATCCTTGTCTTCTATTTGAGTTGCAAGAGACCAAGCACTTAGTACATCATCTATTAATTTCCAGGGTATGTATTAGCAAGTAACTCGATTAGAAGCAGAGGCAAGACTCCATCCCAGGCACTCTGTTATGGGATGTGGTTATCTGAAAAAGGCTGCTTAAGCCACTGAGCCACAATGTCCTACCCTGAATTCATAGTCTTTAATTCTGTCTCTCAAAAGGGAAAAAGAGAAATATGACCAGAAGGGAGCATTGCTGGCTTTTTAAATCCCTTTGAAGTCAGAAGGATAGCAGGTTATAGCAACGGAGGGTGGTACAACAAATACTGGTGCTCACCTTGATGTCTGCAACTGTGGGATCAGAAGCAGCAACATGAGCATAGGTCTCTGAGAGCTGGAGAACATGACACTTTTCACCCAACCTGGCTCTCACAAGTGCTATCTATGCTCCTCCTGAAACACGTGCATGGTTATCTGCCATGTGGTGGGGGTGGTGGGCCAGGCTGCAGAACTGCACCAAGAGCTGAAACAGACAAAAATTAACATCAGTTTACCATCTATTTCTTTCTCTGGGAGTTGCAACCTTCAGTAGGCTTCAGAGTGATATATAGTTACATCAGACAGATTTCTGCCAATACAATTGTTGTCTAGGTGGGAAGACAAATTCCTAGTGCATTCTACTCTACCACCTGCGCAGATTCTTTCATTTATTTACTTTAGATATATTATCTTGCCTTGTTCATGGCCCTTTATTCCTCAGAAAAATATTATGAATAACATGAAGTTTTCATTTTGTGACCTTGTAGATCCTCACACCAGATTAAAACATGTCTTGTTACTTTTATGATAACATGGGAAATGGAGAAAGACTGGAAGGAGGTCTCATCTATTTTGTCTATCCACTATATACCTTTTCATCTGTGACAGATATGTAAAACAGAATTATAAATGTTGTCTCTGGTCTACAGAAGACAAAAGGGCTGGTATCATTGATTAATCTGTCAAAGTCATCCAGCTAGTAAATCATGAAGTTAAGGTTTAAATCCAAGTCTATCTGAGGCCAAGCCCATATTCTTCTCTCCATTCTAGCATGCTATATTCCATATGGGATTTCATAATCATGAGACGGATTGTCCTTGATATTAAAAAATTAATTCCGTTATTGTTCTACTTGTCACTTGTTGATGATGTTAATCGTTATTAGCAAATACGTTGAATGAAAGAAGAGAGTGGAGGAGAAATGGGGCTAAGTAGGTGCTCTGTTCATCAGCACGTGACATCAGTACTCACAGAAGAGACGAGACTGATTTCAGTGGGCTAAAATCAGGTGCATAGCTCCCAAGTACACCCTCCAGACACACATGCCAATAGATGCTATTCGTTTCAGTTCTTCAGGAAAAAAGACTTCAACAGGAGATCTAAAACAAAAACAAATTGGGAAGTAATTTGTATTTGGCTGTTTCTTTTGAAAGTTCAAGGTGTGGTAGCCCTTATCAAAGCTGCAGCCGCTTCCACATAGCAGCTCTGGTCAAAAGGGAGCCGAGAGTGACAATTGTCCTTGATGGCTGCCTTTCTCTATAACTGATCTGCAACATGTCAGGAAAAGACAGTCCTCAGGTACAGCTGGAGACTGCAGTTAAAATCAGTGTGATTCCACAGGCTGCCAGAAATGCCGGGGTCGTGCGTTGAGGGATCAGAATAGGCTTTGGAGAATAGCTGCCCAGTCAAGGAGCAGCTGTGTGGGGGGAGGTGGTAGAGGAGTGGACATTTGTCCTGGGACCATCTGTACTGTGGCATAGACCAAGGCAATTTTTTAGGTCACAGCCTTGGAATGCTGAGGCATTAGGGTCAGGACCAAAAGCTGGGCAGACCAGATAAAGGGAACAGCTGTGGACAGTTGTGTTCTAATCTTAGAAAAGTAAAAAAGAAATAATAAATAAGAAAGTCCAAGTGGTAAATAGTAAGCTGAAACTTACAGCATAAACTGCGCTATAGGAAATATGAAACCTCTTTAGTCAATTTCTTAAACACTTTTAAGCCAGTAGAAGATAATTGGGCTTTCCTGAAACAAGAATTACCTACATACTTCTTCTTATATCAGTTTTACCCAATACTAGCCACTGTTGATTGTTTAAATTAAAATTGGACAAAATTAGAAATTAATTCCTCAGTCACAATAGTCATGATTTCAAATGCTCAGCAGTCATCAACTGGCTAGTGGCAGTCAAATGGAACAGCATAGATAAAGAACATTTCTGTCACAGGAATACTGTTACATAGGCTGTTCTAGATTATGATATGGAATATACATTAACATCGTTGACCTCTGTCTTTTTCTATGCTGTATGTTCAGTGAATATTACAGTGAGTTACATTGTGGACAACAAATATTTATTAAAAACTGAATAAATTAAGTGATTAGAAAGCAAGAAATATCCAGTTTCAGTTGTAGACTTTAGGAAAATTCAAGGCTAAAAATTAAGCTCAGATATGAGAGAGGTTTTATATAGAAAACATTGCATAATTATATAAAAATCACAAAGAAGAAAATTTGACTTCATTTTTTTGAAAATTTTTTATGTTTACTTCCAATTTGATTAATAACTATAATATTCAAAGATTGTTTTATTTTTATTATCCCAAAGGAAATTATTATGTTTAAGTCAGCTTGAATCATCCTGTTCACGCTTTTATACTTTTACTAAGCATTTTTGTGTTGACAGCAAAATGTAGTATTGAGCAATGTTTATAAACTGTTGTAAATTATTGCTATGTCAAAAAAGTTATTTTCTTCTGTAACTTGCTGTTCTCCATCAGTATTTTATTCATGTATTTTTATTCTAACACATTAATATTTAACAGTTAATTGTTCTATGGCTTACAACTGTATTATTATAGCATATTTTTCCTTTTGATTTATGTATCAACTCTGTGGCCTGACAATGAGGTTGTTTTCAACATATGATTAATATAAACAATGCAGTAGTGAATACCTTAGATACATTCTACCATGTGCATTTCTCTAGCCTAAGTATCTACAGATGTACTCATTTGCTAACAAGCCTATTGAACTTGATCTTTACTAGTTACTATCAAATTCTTCTCCAAAGTGTTTTACTACCTATAATTCCCCTGTGAATGATTTCCTATTGTCCTTTTCTAGCAATTTATCTTTATTGATTTTGTTGAATTAAGTGTGAAATAATTTTGTGTTTTTCATTTCATTTAAATCTCTCAAATTACTAAAAAGCATGAGTAGTTTGGTACTTATTGATTAGCTATTCCTCTTCTATCTATTGTTGTCATCCATTTTCTATTGTTCATTAAATTTTATTTTTCTTATTGTGCAAGATCATTTAATATTCACTGGATAATAATGATAATAACCCTTTGTTGATTATATGCATGCTCAATCTCATATCCCAATTCTATCTTATTTTTGATTTTGATTTTATTATATAGATATTTTCTATTTACCTTTCATTGTTTTTTATAATTTATCAATCTTTACCTTTATGGTTTTCTTTTCTTGAATGTTTCAGATCATTCCTCGTCAAATATAATATTTTATGCTTTGAATTTAAATTTTAAGTGGGGATAGCAGACATTACATAATATAGAATCTTCTCATTCATGTGTATAGACAGGGAATGTCTCTCCCTTTGTGTCTTTTAATAATATGACAACATTAAGATCATATATATCTTTTATGATATTTAGTGTTTTTGTCTTCATGCCATTTTAAAAACATTTTAATTGCTTGTCACTTGTGTAAGTAAATCCCTTTAATTTATTGGGTATCAAACTTGTGTCCAGTAAGCTAACTGGATGAATGTACTTACTATTTCCACAAACTTATCAATAGGTTTGTCTGAATTATCTTTGTACTGAATTGTATACAAATAATTTAGCTCTTTCTAGTGATAATGCATCTTATATGCTTTATTGAATTAAATAAGAATGTCAAAGATATGTGAGTGCCTCAAAGTTCCTGAAAAATTAGAATTAAATTTGTTGTGAAAAAAATTGAAATCCCTTCATGCAGGGGATTTTCAAAAAGTTCAGGAAAGTATGTATTATGAAAAAAAATGTGCAGATATTCAACACTTTTTGGACCGAGATTAACATCTTTTAACTCATTTTTCCACAAAATTTTTGAAGTACCCTTCTTTTATACTTTGGAAACAGAAGTATAGAACATCTTTACCTGATTCAGCCTTTAATTATAGTGTTTCCAACATCACTCATTAATATGTCATTTTCTGTAGGTTCTAATAGATATTCCTTTTCAGGGTAGGGCAATTCCCTTTTATGAGTAGCTTGCTTAGTATGTTTATCATGTAGTTTCCAATCTTTTATAATAGTCAAGCATTTTTCTCCACTAACCTGTTAATGTGTTAAATTATGTCAATATTAATAGATTTTTGTCATTAAACAACTTTAGCATTTATTGGAAATATCCTTTGGTCATGACTTTCCATCTTTTAAATTACTTCGCTGCAGTTGATAGTGTTTCATTTTATATTTGCACACTTATTGTCTAACGTCAGAAGGGTCTGTATCTTCATTTTTTATCATGCAAGTTCATTGTCAAGGTTTCAGTAATCTCAAAATACACCACCAAATTTTCTTTTTTTTCTCTGTGGAACGGGTCATTTCTGGAAGTTCTTCCTAGGCTATTTTACAAAAAGAAAATAAGTTTCAGTATCTCTTCCCTTCGCTTTCTGTAGAATTGGACACATGTGTTTCCTATGTTTACCATCTTTTCTGGTGTTTTCTACCTTATAAAATTACAATCATTAAGATGAACAGAGAAAATCCAAAATCATCTCTAGGTATTTTTTCACACTCCAGGAATACACTCAAGAAACCATGTGGACCAGAGAACAACTCATATAGAAGAAGAAAAATAAAATAAAAATCCTAACATTTAATAATTGAGAAATGATTTAAAAAGTAAGACACTGTCACAATCTGAACTGAGGGGAAGAAATGAGTATTTCTCATGTGCAAAAACGCATATAATTTAAAACACATTAGAAAGGAAGGCAGTCTTCAAGTTTCCCCAACTGCCAGTGCTGCTTGATCTAAATAATTTTCTAGGGATCATAGACAAAATATGTATGTTTTCACATTCCCATTGGAATAAAAAAGGTTTGTTATAGCTTTTAACATCAACTGCAGTAAGAGTAGTGGAGGCAGCAGGTGGCAGCAGTTCCCACTCAAAACCCTGGGAATAGGAATAAATCACACAAGAGGCCTTCCTTGCAGGCCAGCCTGTCTGTAAAGTTCCTTTGTGTCTGTAACTGTTCATTTCATATATGGAAAGAAAGATGACGTAATGGCTCTATGTGTTTGTGGGGATACATATATTTTTTACAAAGAGGCTGAGAAACAAACATGATGAAATGGATTGGTTTTCATCTTCCAAACCGCCCCCCCCATCCCTTCTATTTAGAACATGGCAATATGCTCATGCTTTTCTAAGACCCTACTGCTCCTTCTTCTGTCTTCATGCATTCTTTCTGTATTCACTCATGCCTTTCTTTTATACGGCTGTTGAAAATACTTCTAAACCTTTTGCTTCCTTTTATTAAATAACAGCAGATTATAATAATAAGATTAATAATACTGCTAAAATAAAAGCTGTTTATTGAACATGTGCTCTGTGATAGACTCTCTTCCAGAAAGTTTACATATTTTTCTTATTTAATCTGCATAATAACTCAGTGGATTAGATTCTACTATTATCTTCATTTTTAGATGTAGAAGTTGAAACTCAGGGCAAATAAATTGCCTAAGATCATGTAACTGACAAGTGAAGAGGCCAGAAAAAAAGGCTACCTGATCTTGGAGCCTGTGCTGTTCATCCTTACTCATGGGTGTGTTAGGGGGGTATTCTAATCCCTGCCAATACTGAATATTTTAATTTTATTAGGATTGGATTCTTTAAAGCCAATTAAAGTGTGTATTTTCCAAAACTCTGAGAAGTGTGTACCATATGGGAATTCGAGGCCAATGACAGTCAAGCATGGAAAGGTTATTGGAATGAAAAGACCAAGATGATAAATCTCAACTTTATCAGTGGAGGCTTAGTACATTATATTATTACTCAGAGTTGGGCTTTCCTCATGCATTAAATGGTGATAACACTTAGATGTTGTGAAAATTGAGTGAGATGATGCAACAGAGTTCCCACAACATAGTCAGGACCTCTTCCACGTGAGTTCACGTCTTCCTCCGCCAGGTGAACTGCAGTGCCAACTAAACTTTCCTCGGGAAGGTTGAATGTGGAAAAACACGGACGAGGGGAGTAATGGGCAGCATATGGGCATTATTAGTTGTTGCACCTCCATTGAGTACCTCACCTGGTGAATAGGTAATAAATGTTTCCTGTGAAATTAATTAGCAAATAAATAAGTTCACAAAATTGCATAGTCAATGGCTATTTTACATATGCAAAATTAGAACCTGAATAAGTATTAGATATGCATTTCAGAGGACTGGGGTTAAAGGAATAGCATATATTTTCTCAGGAAGTAGTTTTATGATTAAATAAGATTAAGGGGACCCTTATTAATTCCTAGCTTAAAGGTACTCAATTTATATTTGTAATGCTATGTCATATTCTGTTTTGCTTATATGTGTTTAATAATTTATCAAATAAATGAATTCTCTTCTAGACCCAAAACAGAAGATGCCTGGGTGTTTGCAAAGCCCAATGCCATTCAAGCCATTGGGGTTATGTCTTTTGGTGAGTACAGAGTTTGAAAATTTATGGTTGGGTAGCAGATGTCCTAAGTTTTAGACTTTCTATTAGCAGCATATGAACTAGTCTGTACAGTATAAAATTAGGCTCAAAAGTTTTCTCACTCATCACTGAAATTTGCTTTGATTTGGAGAAATCTGTTTCTCATGTAGAGAACTCATTACATGCATCTTATTTCTTAACTTGGAAGCCTTGCAAGTGTTTTAGTCTTTTTAAAAGCCTTGCGCACAAAGTATTATGGATTGACCAGATGTCTAAAGCTACTCTGTGTCTCAGATGGCAAAAGACGTTGTGCACCAAAAGTTATGGTGTTGCTTTTATTTCCCTTATGATGGGAAGTGTCATTCGGAAGAAGAAATTGCGAGAGAAGATTGGATAGATCTGACTTATATCAAGAGTGACATAAAGATATGATTAATGTTCTCATCCCTAAAACTTCTAGAAAAAATGTTTTCTGATACATTAGTAAATTAATATGTTCAAACTCAAGTTCATTGACATTCTAAAGTAGCATACTTAATTTTCAGGACTATAAAAGAAAATGTCGGTACTTGCTTTAACAATGATTGTTTGCTCCTCTTTTTTTTTTTTGTTCTTACAGCATTTATTTGCCATCATAACTGTTTCTTAGTCTATGGTTCTTTGGAAGAACCCACAGTAGCTAAGTGGTCCCGCATCATCCATGTGTCTGTCTTGGTTTCTGTATTTATCTGTATGCTCTTTGCTACATGTGGATACTTGACATTTACTGGCTTCACTCAAGGTAATGGGGGACTCAATCGCATCATATTTTGGTGTTCATGCTAATTGGTACAAGTATATTCAGTATTCTGCTAATTTTTGCTACAAGTGTGCCCAGTATTTTATTTCAAAGGATCACATGCCCACCCATTCTCTCCTCTACGCTCCTGCCTTTCTGCTGTGTGCACTCATTTTTTCCATCTTAAACTGCTAACATCAGTTACATGGTCCATATTCTCTCCTATGCTTCCACATCTGAGCATGCAAATTCTAGCTTTGCTCCCTTTTCTTCCATTCAGCTTCACTTTCAAAGGTGCCAATCGCCTCCCCATCTTTGAGGCTAACAACCTGCTTGGTTCTGATTCTCCCGAGAGGCTCTGAGTCACTCAGAGTACAGGTTGTACTTTTTTTTCTCTAACTTTCTGCCCTTACAGGAAAGACCCCTACTACATTATCATTATTATTCTTTCTCTCCATTAAAACTATTTTTTTCTTTCTTTTATCTCTGGAGACTCTAACTCCCCAGCCCACCTGGATAATTAGCTCAGACAAGTTGCCTGCCCATGTTCTCAGCAAATTATCTGGACGCTTTCATTATTTTGATTCTAGGCCATACCTTTCTTCTGATTTCCAGCCTGTTACTTGTAAATCATTTCATTTCCACTTACCTGCCTCATTCTTGCCTCAATCACAAAACATCTGTCCCGCAAAACCAGCCCTATGGGTATCTCCCTCAAATGTAACATCTTTCCTTGTGCCCTCCTGGGTTCAGGGACCGGGAGTCCCCTCTTCTACTTCCTTTAACATTGCATTCAGTCATCTGTATAGGGTCATAGTCAGGGTAGTCTGACAGCTGTGTAAATGCTATGATTCATATATTTCACAGGGTTTGCAAACCTAGTACCCTACTTGACCTTCAAACAACCCTCTGAAAGTAAGTGGAATAACTAGTTTTCCGCCTGTTCAAAACTTGAAGAGGTAAAGTAACTGGCCCACGCTGGCTGGCAACAAATTAGAAAACAAATTTCCTTTCCCTCCTGGTCCTGCTTTTTCTATTTGTTTAACCACAGTCCACGGAAAGCCATCGCTTAGCCTTCAGCTCCTCTTGGCTTAGCTTTCTGTGACACTGGGGTGCTCTTGGGAGGATGCCTGCCTTGTTTTGAGTAGAGTTTACAGCTCATTGTGATTGTAGCCAGCTATTTCTGCAAAAATGAAGAAAGATGACTTCACAAAATAATGGTTAACATAAACCCACGGCAGTCAAAAAGATAATACAACTATGTGCCGTGAGAGGACAGTAACAAAGTGACCCTGAGTGGTACGATAAGAATTGTGTTTGAAAACTTTGCCACGTGTCACTATTGCAACATAGCTTGCCAAGATGAATGTCCTACAGGCTCTAGTCCGTGAAGATCATGGTTTTAAATGCTTTTTCTGTAGATATAAACCATGCTTTTTGCCTGTCGCACCTTCTTGGTGTTTCTATCAGTGGTAATTGCTCAGATATAATGAAAGCTTTATATAGCGAAGCCGACAGGTAGGTGTTTCATGGTGGTGTTTTTCTCTCATTCATCATTCCTAATAAACACTCAGATTCAAGATGGAATAAGCTGACATTGTGTCTGCAGGTCATTTCTCGTTACGCAGATCTGATCCTGGTTGTGCAAGCCAGGCGTTTGTTTTCTTCTCTGTTACAGTAAATTCCAGTTTACAAGGCAGTAGGAATTCTAGATTCTTCTACACAATGCCAGTGATTTTTGAAAATATGCAAGGTTCATTTTAGCGGAGGTTCATGAATGGGGCTCTTCTGTCCTTTTTTTCTCTCAGGATAGAAGCTTTCCAACCAACTTTGAGGCAGCTCTCTGCCTCTACTGCTTTGAAGTTTAATCTCTTCATGCCAAAAATGTAGTGTAAATTTGTTCTCATTGATTGGAGGAAGGGAAATGACTATTTAACTTTTTAATGAAGAAAAGTACAAAGATATTGTTTTGTTTCTTTCTTCATAAGCTGTAGTAGTGTGCCTTTGATCTAATTTTCTATTCAGTTTTATTGAAAAACAGTGACTGCAGTTTTAAAATTTAAGCATGTTATATTCAGGAAATAAACAGGCTCAGATACTGTTTCATCCATGGTGTTTTTACTTATTTGAACTCTGTGCCCTCATTAGATTCCTGTGTTTTTTCATAGACATCAGAAAATACAATATCTAGATAAGAATTGTCCAATTTACATAGTCCATTATTTAATTGGTTAACATTCTTTCTGGGAATTAGCAGAATATTCACAGTTCTCAAACAGTGCCTCTACACTTGCACGCCCAGATGACATGAAAGACTATGTATGTTTAGAATTCCTTGGTGTGGTCCATGAATTAGCCCCTATAGCATGATATACAGGAAATCTAGCTCCCAGATGTACTGGTCAACTCTTCCTTTCCGGATTGTTCTTGATCTAAGAATAGTATTTCAAAAGGAAATCTGTTTATTTTAACAGACTTTTTTTTTCTACTAATGAAGTCACAGAAACAAAGACCAGAAGCAAATTTACACAGCCAGTATACAATAACGTAAGGAGTTGATTCTGATGTAAGAAGATAGTGGGTGCAGTATTTTTCAGAAGCTGGCACAAATTTGAAACAAACCTACCAAGCACAAACAATGAAAACATAAAAAATGATTAATTATGAATTTATCTTCAAGTGGAACATGCATTAGTTTTAGTACCAGTGAATAGCTACATAGTTATTGAATATAAGAATTTATATTTGAATCTGGTATCTGTTTTCTAAATTACATGAAAGGAAGTTTGTGGTGCTTCCCTTGTATGATAAATATATAACAGCTCAATAATTAGACAGGTATCCCAAGCATCCAATATCTAGTAAAAAAATTTATTTTATGTTGTTCTCTAGGAGACTTATTTGAAAATTATTGCAGAAGTGATGACCTGGTAACATTTGGAAGGTTTTGTTATGGTGTCACTGTCATTTTGACATACCCAATCGAATGCTTTGTGACTAGAGAGGTAAGCCATACTTTACGTAAGTATTTGCTCTACTAAGTTTAACATAGCAAGATTTACAAAAATTGAATTCTGCAAGTGTGCAAATACATTAAAAGTAATACAGTTCATGAAATTTTCCTTTTAACTATAAAATGTCAGTTTAAAGATGAGTTTATATTCATGTTACAAGATTATTTTTCAAAAGTTGGATTTGGAAATTATATTTTGTGGCTTATACTAGCATAAGCACACATATTTATACAACTGCATTCCTGAGTGAATGTAAGCCATCAACAGAGCCAAACTAAGAATGCTGAATATTTTAAATATTCTTAAAAAGAAATTAAGAATCTGGGCTTAAGATCTGTTTTGAAAAATTGCCTTTTTGCTGTTTTGTAAGTCAATATTCATTAAAGATCAGACTATAATTGTTTTTTTTATTTTTTTAAAGTGAAAATATGTTGTATTCCATCAAGAATCAAAATAAAATTTACACCTTTATTTTTGTTCTATTTCATTTATATAATTTATATATATTTCATTTATATAATTTATTCATTTCTCTATTTCATTTATCTAATTTACATAAATATAATTTAGAAATTACATTAATACTTGTATATAAAAATAATATAAATAATGATATAAATCTATAGTTTATTATATGTGTAGATATATTTTCTTTATAAGGTCAGTTTCAAATTGTGTTATATAGTCCAGCTGGATTTGTGGAGAAAGATTAGCTGAAAGTGAGTCACCTTCTTTCTGTATAAAATTGGATAACATGGCTTGTCAAGATTCTCTTATACCATCAGCTGAAAATCCTCCGTACCAGTTAGCAGTAAAACAGGATCCTGCTTCACAGTGGTTCTTTCAGGAAACATGCTGAAAAGGGCTTAGTCTCAGGATCTATTCCTCGGGCTGTTTACACAGTGCACCAAGTGAATGAGGCTAATGTGTGAAGTGAAACATCTAGTGAGCTTGAAATGCAGTGGGAAACCGTGGGCTCTTCAAGGCAGGCCCATGCTTACCCTCTGCCAGCATGGGGGAAAAGGAACTGCACAGGGAGATGTTCAGATCCATGTGAGTCCTTTACAATCAGCACTTCTGCTGGCTCACAAACGTATGAGAGCCACTGGCTTAACGGATGTACAAGACTTTGCCCTGACTGTAGGGAGATGTAGACTGAACTAAGAGTGTTGTAGGAAGATTATTTTTTTTTTAATTTAAGAATCCTTCAGAGGCAGGAAATGGTTTTAACTCCTGCCTAGTACTTTAGGTTCAAAACGGATCTCTAGATCAGCAAGAACAGATGGTGCATTCTCATGTGGTTTCTGGTACATTGCCTATGGGCCATCTGAGTCACTTCACCTGCGCCAACTTCTGTCTGCAGTACTTGGAACTAGAGTTTCCTTTGTGTCTGCCGCTACAGGAAGACGGAACTCATCAAGAGCTCTACCACGGTAGCAATACTGAGTGGAGCAGTGTTGTATCTGCCTCACCCATTCACTTCTCTGCTCTTTTTCTTCTTTCTACACACACATACATACACACACACAAATATGCAGTTGACATAAACTAGTCAATACTGTTTCTATTCAAAGATAAAGTAGCGAGTCACATACAAGGGTGTCGAAAGGCTATCTACCACTAACAAATATCCCTCACTAGCCTGCTTCATGAAGTGACTTTTCGCTCTCATAATCATACCTATTGGAGATATCTATTAGAAATAATTTTAAATAAGTTATAATTACTTACCATTATTAGTATCCTCATTAAATTGTTAGTGGATCATAGCAGTATCTGATATATGGGGAGTGTTGTCTACCTGGGTAACACAGCTTAGAAAGCTAGCTTCTTTAGCATGTCCCAGCATCTATCCCAATCCTACTATTTCTAGCTCCTGCCTGACTGCTCTTTCACATAACGTTACCACACTATCCAGACTGTCTCCTTTTCCTTCCATAGATACCATTCCTGTTTTTCCTTCTTAGTTCTTTTTCCCACTATTGCCTCATGCTGTAATTCTGATCCAGATCTTATCTGTTTTTTAAGTCCCACCCCAAGGCAAGATTGGTCAAACGCATTTCAGGAATGCTGTAAAGAAGATTACTGTAAGGGAGGCAGACCTAAATAATTAAAGATCCTTCTAGTTCTACATTCTATCTGGTCCCTTTTTGTCCTGTCATAAGCTGATCTCTGTCTCTTTGAGTTGATTGTGTTTCTCTGATTAGGGTGTCAATTCCTGAGAATAGAAATCTTCTCCTCCTAGACATTTTCTATTTGCAAATCATATCACAGTGTGAGATACATGAAACAGTTAACTGTTCAGTGATTTCCTGATCTGAGTACTAATGGCAAATGGTGATAAACCTTCCTGCATTTTTATTGCAGAAACACAAGAAAAAAATGTATTTAAATGGTAAAAAAATGGATTTTGTTTGTATAGAATTAATTTTGTGTTAGTAAAGGATATTACACATCTAGTATGATTAAAAGAAAGGTGGTAACTGCTTCCCTAAAAGCCTTTCAAATAATTTTAATAGCATCTGCAGTTTGTTGGGTGCAAAGAAAAAGGCTGTGGTGACTTCCCGAGAGCTTTCTAATACTTGAGAAATGTATGCATTCAGACCTGGGATGCCATACAGTCAGAATGTAACATGATCCAAGGTATCTGATAACTCAGCAAAGCATATCTGTCTGTTGATATGTGTATCTATTGTAAATACTTAGGAAAAAGAACATTCATAGTGATGAGATTTGAGTAATAGTCTTTTTGGTAGTATTTCACACAATCCTAAATGCTATTATGAAATACTTTCTCAGTAACTCCTGCATGTCTCTGAGAGCCCCTCTCAAAATAATCTTTTGTTTTGGCAGGTAATTGCCAATGTGTTTTTTGGTGGGACTCTCTCATCAGCTTTCCACATTGCTGTAACAGTGGTCATCATTATGGTAGCCATGCTGGTGTCATTGCTGATTGACTGCCTTGGAATCGTTTTAGAACTCAATGTAAGTATATATTTAAAGATTTACTCCCTCAATTCTGAAAATCCCTTTAAAAATTGTGCATTACAAAAGTACAACTTTCTGAAGTAGAGTAAAAATATTCATATAATGGTAAATATTTAGTGTTGATGCTATGCCCTTTGTAGGCTTTTGTAGTTTTAAAGCAGTGGTTCTCAAATGGAGACAGTTTTATTCTTCCTCCCCCAGGGGAGTTCAGCAATGTCTGAAGACTTTTTGGGTTGTTTCAACCAAGTAGGTAGTTCTATTTGCCTCCTGTGTGTAGAAGCCAAGGCTACTACCAAATATCCCACAGTGCACAGGATAGTCCCTGCACAATAAAGTAGTATCTGAACTACAGTGTCAATAGTGCTGAGGTTGAGAAACCTTGGTTAGAACACTTGCATATCTCATTGCTATAATAGATATTTTAAGAAATAATTACAAATCGAATATAACTGGAATTTTCTTTGCTGAGTCATCAAAAATGGAAGGAAAGCATTATATAGCTATTACACATTCACTTACCATAGCCCAGTCTCTTCTTTAACAATATTTCTTTCTCTTAGCGATGGGGAATGTCTGGACCATGGGCCATCTATGGCCTATAGAATCATTTGGTCTGACCCTGCCAAGGCAACTGGAGGTACAACTTAAAATTCAGTACATCTATAGCAGGTAGCTTTTAAGTTCATAGTTTTGTATGGCCTGTGAATGATGTTATAAATGTACAAATGGCCCTTGGAAGAAAAAAGTTCTGTACCCCTGCTAGACCTTTCTTTTGTAGTTTCTGCTACTACTACCACAATTTGGGTCCTTATCATCACATAGATGAATTAATCCAGGATCTTTTGCTTTATTTAGCAAATATTTCTGTTCTGCATTCAATTTGTCAGCACCCTGTTCAAAAGAATCCAGTTTCCTGCCAGAGCAACTATAAATGCTCTTGCATTTATAATCTGACCCCATGCCTTCTATGGAAAGTTATTTCCCATTTACTTGTTTAAGTGTACCTTCAGGTCAAGTCAGTTTTTTTTTTTTTTTTTGGGCGGGGGGGCCTGTGAATAATTCCTATCAATTGTTTCTTGTATCTTTTATCTGCTTTTCTTTCCTCTGATGATTATTTTCCCTTTGATACTGTCCAGATCTTAAAAAGACTTCAAAGTCTTCATACATTCGTTGATTATATATTTACTGAATAATCACTATGTGTGCACAATAGAAATATAATGATCAAAAGAAATATTAAAGATCTGTGCTTTTTTTGCAAATGAACTTTAAGTTCAACTACCAGTAGGCAATGAAGGAGACAGAGGAAAGTAGATGGACTTCCAAATGATATGTTAAGAAAAAAATGACAATTGGTAACATTCAATTGGAAGGACAAAGAGTTAGAGGGACACATTAATGACTCCTTCATTCTGTTTGTCAAACTAGGATGATGATGCCATTTGGTGAGATAGAAATGGTAGTGGATTTATCACAGTAAAGTCATTAATTTTGCCCTTCTACAATCGTTATAGAATTTCCAATTAGAATCACACACCATTTGTCATTTCTGACTCTTATACTACAGACAGGAAAGAATTTTTACAGATAGTACCCAAAGTCATCATTTACTTATTCCACTGAGTGTTGAATCATAGCTGAAAGTATTATTGCCAGTGCCTTAGTCATTATCAATTGCAGATACCCTTCTGATCTGAAGTTGCAGACAAAAGCAGTTGGAGATCTAGTCAGGAACATACTACTGGGAATAAATGGTAAATGAGGAATGGGCTGCTTTCCAAAATCTCAGTGGGCTGGGGAAATGTCTTTTCCACAAATAGTAGAAAGCAAGCTCACAGGAGAGGCAGACAAATGTCAAAGGTAACTTCTACCTACTTCTCTTTGCATAGTCCAACGCTAGTAGGTCAGTCCAGAGTCATTTCCTCTACCAACTTTGATTTGTATAAATTGATTGCTGCTACTTTAATGCACTTTGACTTATTTATTATCTCACATCATGTGCTGTTTGAACTGTTCACAAACTGACCTTACCAAATTGTAAGCTCTTTGCAGATAGGAATATTTAATCACCATCTCTATCCTCCATGGTGTTTTGACAGGACCAAGAACAAATGGCTCAATTTATTGCATGGCTAGTAGTAATCTGTCAGCTATGCTGCGAAGTTGATCAACATATTGACTCTCAATGTGTTTCTTCTTATGAAATTTCTCTTTTTAGGTCACAAGTTTATTTATTTGCTTGTTTTTTAATGTTGTAGGATTCTGTTAAAAGGAAAAATAGAATTATCAATTGCCTGAGCATTTATTATGTCTTAGTAGACTAACATACCTTTCAGTTAAGTAAGCATACACATATATGTCATATGATATATTTTTGTAAATTTAACCATTATTTTCCATAAATTTAACTGCTAATCTCTTTGATGCATACACAGAAAAATTATAAATACTTAATCATATGAAATATTCTCTGCTGTACTTACATTAAAATTGTTTGTGGTTAAGACATAATCTTGGTATTATACAGTAGTCAGAGAAAAAAATCTGTGAGTAGTTATTATAAAGGCAAGATCTGGGCCAGATGTGCAATATTTTTTTTTTTACTTTTTATTTTTTTGACAGGCAGAGTGGACAGTGAGAGAGAGAGAGAGAGAGAGAGAGAGAAAGGTCTTCCTTTTGCCGTTGGTTCACCCTCCAATGGCCGCCGCGGCCGGCACGCTGCGGCCAGCGCACCACGCTGATCTGATGGCAGGAGCCAGGTGCTTCTCCTGGTCTCCCATGGGGTGCAGGGCCCAAGGACTTGGGCCATCCTCCACTGCATTCCCTGGCCACAGCAGAGGGCTGGCCTGGAAGAGGGGCAACCGGGACAGAATCCGGCGCCCCGACCAGGACTAGAACCCGGTGTGCCAGCGCCGCAAGGCGGAGGATTAGCCTAGTGAGCCGCGGCGCCGGCTCAGATGTGCAATATTTTTAAAAAGCAAAGTGTGATTATAGATCCTTGGATTTTTAAGAACTTGCTTATATAGACATACATAAAAACAAAGAAGAGTGCTAAATTTTATTGTTGATCTAATTTATCCAAGACAATCACACTAGTTTTAAAGCATACTGTAGGAATTAATGAAATCCAGAATTTACATTTTCTGCCAGACCACCTAAGAATATGTGTTTTTCCCATCAACAAATGTTGCTTGGGGCATATAGTAGCATGGTCAGGTCATTCTTCACTTCACTTTGTGTAGATACTTAACCATACTCAATACACCAGAATCAAGTGTCATTTCTGTCAATAACTTATCCTGGAACCTGCAATACATTAACAGTAACTATTGCATGCTATGGTTCACTTAATGGCCCTAATGTGAGTTAACAAGTGTTTCTTACACTGTGCCAACTGTGTTTTGTATGCATTATCTTCCTTGATCTGTATTAACTTTATAGAGAAATAAGCATAGAGCAATTAAATAGTCTGAGGACACATTAGATGTAAATGGCAGAATCAAGATTTCAATATGGAGACTTAAACCCAATTGTCTACATTTTTTCAGAAAACATATTTATCTATTTATTTGAAAGACAGGGTTATAGATAGGCAGAGGAAGATAGGGAAAGAGAAGTCTTCCATCCACTGGTTTACTCCCCAAAAGGTCACAATGGCCAGAGCTGGGCTATCCAAAGCCAGGAGCAAGGAGCCAGGAGCTTCTTCCAGGTCTTGCACACAGGTGAGGGGCTCAAGGACTTGGGTCATCTTCCACTGCTTTCCCAAGTCATAGCAGAGAGCTGGATCGGAAGTGGAGCAGCAGGGACTTGAACTTGCACGCATAGGGGATGCCGGCACTGCAGGCAGCAGCTTTACCCACTATGCCACAGTACTGGCCCTGCAGTTGCCTACATTTTTAAACACTGCATTAGTCTTAGATTTCCTAAGTATTAAATTATGTAAAATAATTATGCTCATTTGTCTGCCAATGTTTTATGTTAAAATCTATGCATTGGCTTTATGAGTAGGGCGAAGAGTAACCCACAATATTTACTAATAAACTTTAATAATGGATTAAAATAAATATCAGAAGATAAATTTGAACTAAAGGCTTTTTTTCTTAATAATTTTTAGTTAATAGCTTTTATCTTAGTCAATAATTATAGTACTTTAGGAATTCAGTTAACAGTTTTCATTTGTTATATTTCATCATATTTTTAGTTTAGGAACTCTTTTGTTATATCTTCTGAATCATAACTAAGTAGAACAATGGATGTGTATTAGAGTCAGATCTTGGAAAATTAAGGAAATTATGTTATTTTGTATAATTAAATAATATAGGATAAATTATTTAGTGCTATAGTAGCAATTCAATAGAAACAAAACCCATTTAGAACTTTGCTTCCTTATTTATTTGTGGTTTCATGTCAGTAGAAAACAATGCAATATTTTCCCAAAGTAAATACACCCTCAATTTTATTTTTAAAGTTTGTTTATTTGACAGGCAGAGAGAGAGACAGAGACAGAGACACAGAGAGATCTTCACTCCATTGGTTCACTCCTCAGATGGTTCACCACCCTCAACAGACTGGACTGAGCCAGGCTGAAGCCTGGAGCTAGGAACTGCTTTCAGGTCCCCAGGGTGGGTGACAGGAAGCAAGGACTTGAGCGCTCCATAGTCCAAGTAGACAGAGACGTAATGAGCTAGGGAGAGTTTCATTTAAGGGATAGGAATAATTTTTATTAATCCAAGTTGTTTATGGAGTAAAAGTTTAAAGGATATATAAGCATTATTTTGCTAGTTTTCAACTTCCTTGGATAATTTAAAAGATTTCTATTCAAATCTTCAACACCCTCTATTCTTCCCATACTGCAAGCAGCAAAACACCCCGGCACCAAAACTGTTGTTGTCAATGGGTAGTGCTGTCCTGCCTTTATAAAGGAAGCTTCTTTTATTGTTTCCTTAACAAGTAGTTACAGTTTCGTGTCCTGTCAAGCAATTTCAAAAATTACTTCA